TACCGGCACATAGGTATGAGATGGGGGGAGGTATGGGGGCCGTAGAGCAGGGGCGCCTTGATCTTCTCTTCGCCTGCGCGTGACATGAGCCTGTGCACGCTGCAGGTGCCCAACTACGACCCCTCGGAGTACCACACCGAGCGCCTCTACGCGCGCTACGCCGAGGACAAGTTATTCAAATCCGTATTATGTCGTTCTGCGTTCAGCGAGACGCTCAGTTGCTGCAACCTGCATGTGCTGGCGGCCGCAGTCTTTCTGGTTACTGGTAGAAGCTAGTGAACGGGTACGACTACGAGATGTATGTAGGGAGTATTCGCAAAGAGGAGCCCCGCGCACGCACGACTCCGCAGGAGAAACCCCTCCGCAGACAAAACACAAGGGAAAGGTGGGTGGGTCACAGTCTTTCTGTGACTGTGTTGCCGTGCATGGTGTTTGTGGTAGAATCTAGAACGGTCAAACGAACCCCCCCTCCCCGCCGGTGTCGCTATCCAAGAGCGCGGCTGCAGCGCTGGTCAGGCCCACCCGGTGTGCGGCCACCGAAGAGGAGTGGTGCGCGGCCGCCGAAGAGGAGCGCGGGAGCGGCTCACCGCCGCCTTCGCGTCGCCAGCCCATGGCCATATCAGCAACGTCGACAGGAACGGGAGAGTCAGGACGAGAGCTTGGCAGCATGGGAAGCGGGCTGACATTGCCCGCGATCCGCCGCTGGAGGATCTCTGCAGGCGACCGCGGATTTCGGGGTGTGCTGGCCTGACTTGCTGGCGTCGAACGCGGGACCACACCGTTGCGGCCACCGTCTCGAGCGGAAGCGGTGGCCCCCGAAGCGGCGGAGCAGGACGGGCCGGCGGGCGATACGGATGGCCGGTCAGCAGCGGGTGTAGAGGCATTCCACCCGGGCACGGACACGGACGCGTCGAATGCCGTGGAAAGCGACTTGACGGGGGTGCCGTCGTCGCCGCGACTCGCGCACCGGCTCGCCTCAGAAGCGCTTTTCACGGAGGCCGTGTCGCACGCCGCCGCAGCCCGGGTCTGCCGCAGCCCAATGGACCGCAACTTCGGTTGCCACGTGTGCAAGCTCCTACACTCGAGAGAGAGAGGCCTTGGGGAGCAATGTGTCCCTCTCGATGACTTGGGCAAACGGGTGGGGCCATGCGCACCTTTGCGTCAAGAAAGCACTCGCCATGCGCGCGCCACGCAATGAAGAGAGGAAAGAGGACGAAGTGTGGCCCTCGTCGGCCTCGTCGATCAACCGCCTATCCGCACCAGAGGGGAGAGTGCTGATGGCCTCGAGGTGCAGGCTTCGCCGCGGGCAAAACGGAGCGACTTTGGGAGGAGGGAGCGGTCGCGGTAGCGTGAGCAACAGGTGAAGACGAGAGCGAGCGATGCCATCACCGCCGCCGCCAAGCCGACCGCGGCACTGCCGGCCAGCTGTATCGTCGCTTGCGGTGGCGGCGGCGGCCAAGGCATGAAGCCAGCCCCCACAGGCAGCCGCAGCGTCGGGAGGGGGGCGGCCGGGAGGGGCTGCGACGGCGACGGCGACGGCGGGCGTGGAGGTGGAAACATTCGCGGCGTGGGCGGCGGTGCCGGTGGTGGCCGGTGATAAGATTGCGCCGGCGCAAACACGGACGGTAAGCGCGGCGGCGGCGGCGGCGGCGGCAGCGGCGGCGGCGGCGGCGGCGGCGCGCTCCGCGGCGGTGGCGGCGTGGGCGCCTTGCCGGGCGGGGTTGGTGGCGGCGACGGCGGCGGGGTCGGAGCCTTGCCCGGTGGGAAGGGCGGCGGCGAGGGCGGCGGGCGGGGAGTCTTGCCCGGCGGGAAGGGCGGCGTGCTCGGCGGCAATGGCGAGGGCCACGATGGCGGGAGCGGCGGTGGGAGCGGAGGCGCGAGCGGCGACGGCGGCAACCGCGGCGACGGCGACGGCGGCGGGGCTGGAGGTGGTGGCGGCGGCGGCGGTGGCGACGGAGGGAGCAAGTACGGGCAGAGAATCGTGTTTGTTCCTCTGTAGCACTGGCCCTCCTTCTCGCCGGGTGGCGGCGCGAGGTAGACGCAAGGCGCGATGGCGTGGACGGTGCTGGTCGAGAGCGAGTCGATGGTGATGTAGGTGGACGTGCACTCGGAGGCGACGACCTAGGTCAGGTCAGGTACACTTCTCCACACACACACGAGGTGGTGGGGCAAGCGCCAAGCTGGTCCCTCGCGACGCCACGTCTAGAAAGACAGGAGCAACAACGGCATTCCAAGTGCAAGGCCTCGTGTGCGTGGGTGAGCACGGACCTTTCGGGTGTAGGCGTCGTTGCACCACTCGGGCCTTGCCGGAGGTTCGAGCTGTCGGAGGTTCGTCATGCTGCCTACAAGCGCATCGTGAGAAGCGCGCGTGATGCGGAGACTGCCGTGGGCTCGAGCTGCAGAGCCCCGTGGCGCGGTCGCCATAGAGAATGGCACAATCGCTCGGGAGGGGCGGCGGCCGCGGCGGAGGCCCCGGCGGCGGCGCATTGGGCGGCCGGGACGGCGGCGGCGCGGGGGGAGGGAGACTGGGGTGTGGAGGCAGGGCTGGGCGTGGCAGCCGTGGCGGCGGAATCCCAGGAGGCAAGGGCGGCGCCGGAGGAATCCTGGCAGGTGGAGAGAGCGGCGGCGGCGGCGGCTCTGGCGCTGGCGGGGAGGGGGGTGATTGCGGCGGCGGCGACGGCGGCGGCAGCGGCAGCGGCGGCGGCGAGGGCGGTGGGGCAAGTGGCTGAGGCGACGGGGGCGGTGGCGAGGGGAGAGTGACGAGGAGCTCAAAGTCGCGGATGCCTAAGGGGAGATGCTATCGTGAGCTGAGTAGCGTCGTGGCAACAGCCCTTCAAGGGTGACAACAACGCATCTCACGCGAGAGGACCCTATAGGGGGGCAGCAGCCCCCGTGTAGTCTGATACTGGGGGCGTGACTGTCCCCAGCCCCGGAGGTGAGGGAGGAGCTCAGTGTGTGTCATAGTTTAAAGCCGCGGATGCCCCATGACTCGTCGTACGCCGTCTTGTCGAGGGTGGTCGTGACACGGATCGACGCAGATGGCGCGGTGTGGAGCACCGTCACATCCACAGGCACCGCCTATCTCGACCGATCCGGGTAGTGTCTTGGAGGTGTGGTGGCACCGCCTATCTCGACCGATCCGGGTAGTGTCTTGGAGGTGTGGTGGCACCGCCTATCTCGACCGATCCGGGTAGTGTCTTGGAGGTGTGGTGGCACCGCCTATCTCGACCGATCCGGGTAGTGTCTTGGAGGTGTGGTGGCACCGCCTATCTCGACCGATCCGGGTAGTGTCTTGGAGGTGTGGTGGCACCGCCTATCTCGACCGATCCGGGTAGTGTCTTGGAGGTGTGGTGGCACCGCCTATCTCGACCGATCCGGGTAGTGTCTTGGAGGTGTGGTGGCACCGCCTATCTCGACCGATCCGGGTAGTGTCTTGGAGGTGTGGTGGCACCGCCTATCTCGACCGATCCGGGTAGTGTCTTGGAGGTGTGGTGGCACCGCCTATCTCGACCGATCCGGGTAGGGTCTTGGAGGTGTGGTGGCACCGCCTATCTCGACCGATCCGGGTAGGGTCTTGGAGGTGTGGTGGCACCGCCTATCTCGACCGATCCGGGTAGTGTCTTGGAGGTGTGGTGGCACCGCCTATCTCGACCGATCCGGGTAGTGTCTTGGAGGTGTGGTGGCACCGCCTATCTCGACCGATCCGGGTAGTGTCTTGGAGGTGTGGTGGCACCGCCTATCTCGACCGATCCGGGTAGTGTCTTGGAAGTGTGGTGGCACCGCCTATCTTGACCGATCCGGGTAGTGTCTTGGAGGTGTGGTGGCACCGCCTATCTCGACCGATCCGGGTAGTGTCTTGGAGGTGTGGTGGTGTCGTGGCGGTGTCAGCGACGACGTGTCGTGGAGGAGTCGGAGAGGCATCTGGCACGTCCGGGAGTCTGGAGGGTGCGTCAGGCAGGTCCCAATGCTGGGAGGGTGTCTGGGAGGGTGGGTGGGTGGGGGTGGGGGTTGGTCAGCTTGTGCTGTGCGAGCCGAGCAAAGGGATGGGTGGGCGGCGGCGGGTTTGGACGGGTGGCGGCGGGTTCGGACGGGTGGCGGCGGCGGGCTTGGCGGCGGGCTTGGCGCCTCTTCGGCGAAGCGCGTGTGCCCGCACTTGTTTGAGCTGCCCGAGTGGCGGCCGAACGTTTGCCGCCACACTTCGACGCCTGTGTACGTGCACGCCGACGCGGCAGAGGTGAGGGGCACTGAGAGTGTACAGAGAGGTGAGAGGTGGCAACCAGTGCGCGCGTCCACAGGCGTGTGCCGTCCATGGTGTGGTGGTTCCTTTCGCGGTCTCTCGGCGGGATGCGGCGGGGAATGGCGGGGTATGGCGGGATGCGGCGGGGAATGGCGGGGTGCGGCGGGGTGCGGCGGGAGATGCGGCGGGGTATGGCGGGGTGCGGCGGGGTGCGGCGGGGTGCGGCGGGGTGCGGCGGGAGATGCGGCGGGGTATGGCGGGGTGCGGCGGGATCTCGGGCGCGACTAGGAAGGCAAGAGTACGGGGCGGAGGCAGCAAGGACGGAGGCGGCGAGGGCGGAGGCAGCGAAAGCGGAGGCAGCGAGGGCGGAGGCGGCGAGGGCGAGGGCAGCGAAAGCGGAGGCGGCGAGGGCGGAGGCGGCGAGGGCGATACGTACAGTACCAGGGACCGACCGATCGCGATCGGCTGGCGACCCGTCACGGCCGCCAATTGAGCTAGGGAGTGTGGCGATGGCGCCGCCCAAAGCGCCTCGCCATACTCGGAGATGCAAGGGGATACAGTGAGATGCGGTCAGAGACGGGGCTCCCCCTCGTCAAGAGAGCGTGAGATGAACAGGAGCCGTGTCCGCAGCTAGGGCGTCCGTGTGCCGTCCACGAGCAGCAGCGCGAGCTCGTTGTCCCACGAATCGACCTTGACGAAGAGGAGCCGCACCCGCAGCGCCTCGTGCGGCGTGGGGACGGCGAACGTGCGCTCGATGAAATCGCCGCCGCCGCCTAAATCGGTGGGGCGGCGGACGACGCCAGTCGGCTCAGAACGCCAGCCGCAGCAGCGCGCAGCCGAGGGCAGAGGGGAGAGTGTGAGTCGCGCGCAGAAGGCGCCCGTGCGAGCCCGAATCTCCCCCTCCCTCTTCCCGGCGCTTTGCCCCGCGCGCACCCAAAGACTGGAACCCGCCGAGCAGCTCGCCGAGATCGCCGCACACCGTGGTCACGGGCGTCGACAGGCCTGACGCCGCGAGATCAGCCGAGATCAGCCGAGATCAGCCGAGATCAGCCGAGATCAGCCGAGATCAGCCGAGATCAGCCGAGATCAGCCGAGAGTAGCCGAGATCAGCCGAGAGCAGCCGAGATCAGCCGAGAGCAGCCGAGATCAGCCGAGATCAGCCGAGAGCAGCCGAGAGCAGCCGAGATCAGCCGAGATAAGCCGAGATCAGCCGGGATTGCATCTCGCGCGGTGCATCCATGCTCACCGGGACGCCGCTGCCATGCGTTGTGCCAGCCTACACACATGGTGCATGCTTGAGACTTTGGAGGGGCACCCTGCGGTCCCTGGCGGCCTTTGGCTTCCCCCATCTTCCGTCTCCTTTGAGTCGAGTCCTCCGACTCCCTTCTGGTAAGGGACCCCCCGCCCCCCCCACCCTCCCCACCCACCCACCGTTTCGCCCTCCCGTGCATACGAGCCTCGTGGCGGGAAATACGGTGTTGTGCAGAGCCCTGTGTTCGAACAACAGTGAACACAGCCGCGAATATACGGTCGAGTACAGCGGAATGCGAGATGGTGGGGAGACAAGAAGACGTATTCCGCTTCTAGGGAGGCGAGCCCATCTCTCCCCACATCTCCCCCATCTCTCCCCAGATCTCCGCTTCTAGGGAGGCGAGCAGCCCGGCGAGGTGGGTGTACCGCAGCACGAGCTGGTCGCATCTCCCCCATATCTCCCCGTCTCTGCCCAGCTTCTAGGCTGGCGAGCCTGCCGGCAGCGCGTGGCTCGACTGGAGGATGCGCTGCCTAAGGTATACGTCCGTGCGAGCGGTGAGGGGCCGGAGAGCGGGAGGACAGCGGGGGCGGCAGAAGCGGCCGCGGCCCTGGCGGAGCCGCGGGGGCGGGAGAAGCGGGTGGGGGCAGCGAGGGCGGTTTGGGCGGCGAGGGCGGGCGCGGTGGTGACGGCGGGGCGGCGGGGGGAGAAGGTGGCGGCAAGGGTGGCGACGGCGGCGGCAGCGGCGGAGAAATGGGCGGCCGGGGGGAGGGGGGCGGTGGCGGCGGGGATGGCGGCGAGGCAGGTGGCAGCGGCGACAAGGGCGGCGGCTGCAACGGCGGCGGCGGCGGCGGCGACGGCGGCGGCGGCGCGAACGGCGGCATGGGCGAGAGGAGCGAGAGCTTGATGTTCTGAATGCCCCACGCCTCGTCGACAGACTGGATCGAGAGGCCCGCGTGCATCTGTGAGGGCGTGAGAGGGTGAGAGGGTGAGAGGGTGTGAGGGTGTGAGGGTGTGAGAGGGTGTGAGGGTGTGAGGGCGTGAGGGCGTGAGGGTGTGAGGGCGAGGGGAGTGTGCCGACCCGCCCGGCCGTCGGTGAGCACCGGGGGACGCGACGGTCGGGCGGCTCCTACTCCTAGAGTAGCGATCTGCCTGCCTGCGTTCGTACGAGCTCACTAGCTAGAGCTCACGCTCGAGGCCGTCCTCTGTGAGGGTGTGAGAAGCCTCCGTGCTGAATACGCCGGCCCGCGGCCCTCGGGGCGGGGAGACGGGAGTGTGCAGCGTGTATTCAGAGCTCCGCGTGAAGACAAGAGAGGCGGAGGCGGTGAGTGCAGCCGAAGACGATCGAATGCAGTGGAAGGCGTTGCGCTCTCGAGGGCCAGTTGGGACAGGAGCATTCTGGCTTCTAGGCTGTGCCTTTTGTGGTGCTAGTCCGTGCCAGTCTGCTGTGAGAGGGGCTTGTATTCGTAGAATTCTAGGGTGAGGGTGTGAGGGCGAGGGTGTGACGGGGGCACGTGTCTATACTGCGACCTGGTGTCATATGCCAGCACCTCCGAGACGGAGGTGGGGAGAGAGGCTTTCCCCGGCGGCATCTCTCCCCATACAGGCCGCATCTCGGCCGCATCTCGGCCGCATCTCGGCCGCATCTCGGCCGCATCTCGACCTCGACGGCGAGAGAGGCTGCGGTGTGCGGGATGTGCGCGCTGATGTCGAAGACGTAGTCTGGCGAGCCTACGTGTGCGGTCAATACGCCAACCCTCGGGGCGGGAAGACGGCATTGTGCAGTGTTGCTTCGGAGCACCGCGTGAATACGAGGGACGCGAATACAAGGACTGCACAGCGGAACACGGCGGAAGGACAGTGGAGTGCGTGTCCTCTCGAGCGCTGGTGGGAAGACATGGAAGGACGTCTTTCGCTTCTGGGGTGGCGACCGTCGGCCGGGTGGCCGCAAATCTGGCGCGGTGGCACCTAAGGCACGGTAAGGGAGGCTTCTCCACACACACGAGGTGGTGGGGCAGCAGGGCCAGGCTATCCCTCGCGACTCCACGAGACTAGGAGACAAGAAGGCCCACGGCATTCAAAGTGCACAAGGCCCAGTGCGCGTGGGCGAGCGGTGTGAGCGTGCGGCCCAGTGCGCGTGGGCGAGCGGTGTGAGTGTGCGGCCCAGTGCGCGTGGGCGAGCGGTGTGAGTGTGCGGCCCAGTGCGCGTGGGCGAGCGGTGTGAGTGTGCGGCCCAGTGCGCGTGGGCGAGCGGTGTGAGTGTGCGGCCCAGTGCGCGTGGGCGAGCGGTGTGAGTGTGCGGCCCAGTGCGCGTGGGCGAGCGGTGTGAGCGTGCGGCCCAGTGCGCGTGGGCGAGCGGTGTGAGCGTGCGGCCCAGTGCGCGTGGGCGAGCGGTGTGCGTGTGCGGCGGAACCTCCCCGAGAGGCGGCTGCTCCCACGCGACAGCCCCATCGACGAGGAGGCGCGCTGAGCCCGACAAGGCGGCGTCGATGCGCAGGAATCGCAGGTCGAGCTGGGCGGCTCGGTGCGGCGGCAGCCGTGTGAAGGTCTTGCGCAGCAGCGAGTCGCCGCCCGCCTTGCCCGAAAAGAGCGCGTGCACGACCGCGATGTTGCCCAGCGAACCGCACTGCGTCGCCCACACCTCGGAGCCCGACCAGCCGTGGGCGATGGTTGGATCCGCGTCGACCGAGAGGACCCCAAAGCCAGGCGGCAACGACGGCCGAGGCGCGGCCGGCGCGGGTGGCGGCAGTGGTGGCGAAGGTGGCGACGGCGGCATGGGCGGCGAGGGCAGAGGCGGGGGCAGCGGCGGTGGCGGCGGCAGCAGCGGCGCGGGAGGACTGGGGGGACAGGCTATGAAGACGCCAAAGCCACCTAGAGGGCGGATGGCGACGGGTGGCGTCGGGTGGGGGGTGGCGAGGGTGTTGTTGACGGATGCGCGGCCAGGCGCGATGGTGTGTGAGTGAGGCTGATGGTGATCGCCAGGCGGCGGCACAGCGAGCGCACAGAATCGGCAGGCCACGTCGCCCCCAGCAGCGCAGCCCAGCCCCATCGACCACTTACACTGTTGGCACGGGAGGCATTACTGTCGGTGCGTGACGTTGGGTCGGTGCGTGACACTGAACAAGGTCGAGTGCGCTATCTCGGGGGGGCGGCGCATCGGCGCGCACGCGAGGGGATTACCGAAGGATCGAAAAAGCAGAGCTCTGTTGGGTTGCCGGTGCATGTTCCCGCAGGATGAACGCCACAACGAGGAGCGGCGAGGGCGAGGAAGCCAGGGAAACAGACGATGGTGGACATCGTGGAGAATGTCTGACGGTGCATCGACCTGTCTGCGGTGGCTCACTTGAACGCCGACTCTCAGACGCCCTTCACACAAAAACACAACCCCGGGCCCGAAATCGCACAGAGTCACGCAACACGGGGTCCCAGGGAAGGCGAACAAAAACCTTATCGCGCGCGCTAGACGCCGACTCGGAGGCCGCACCGGTCAGGCGCGCAGCCGGAGAGAGAGAGACGCCCTTCACACAAAAACACAACCCCGGACCCAAGACGCACAAGCAAGCACAGACAGTCGAGAAGGGAGAGACAGCAACGACAGTCAGAAGCCAGCGCGAGGGCCCAACAGGAGAATCGTGCTTTTTGGGTTGGTTTGTTTTGTTGGGTTGTCGGCACGGGTTGGGTCGGTGAGTTGGGTTGTCCACCCAACCGACCGCGTGAGATAGGGTGCTGACCTTTCTCGCCGAGGCTCGCCGTGGCCCCACACGGCGGCCTCTGCTCGCGTTTTCGAGCCAGAACCTTCGTCCGGGCCCACGGCCGGCACGCCATCGTGACTCCGCGCGCTCGGCCTCCACCGGCTTGCTGTGCGGACGGCTTCTTGTGGCTCTCGTCGAGAGCGTTTTGGCGGCCACTTCACAGCTGTATGCCTTGCTCCTTTAGGTGCTGTGTCTTGTGAGCTTGTTTGTGTCTGTGTGTCGCCCGTGCGTGTCGTCATCATCTGTCTTGCGTCCACCCATACCGCGTTGGTGTCCAGTCCGAGCCTGGCTGTTCTTCACCTTTCTACCTACCTACCTAGGTGCTCTTAGTATGTTCTGGCTCATCCGTCCCTGACTGCCTGAGTACGCTCCCTTCGTGTTATTGAGAAGAAAATACGTCCCATGGCGCTGTGCGCAGGTCTGTTCACAGGCCTGTGTTATTTGTTGTTTCCCTCCAATTTGTTTTTCGGCGTTGTATTTCAAATAACTTTGATTGGTGCTGCGCGCTATGGCTGGTCTATTCACACAAAAGCCCAACCCCGGGCCCGAAATCCACGACAGCAGACCTCGCACTTCGCGCGCTTTCACTGGCCGGACGGAGAGTACCGGCATGCCCGTGCTAGAGGCCAGTGACAACGAAGCCAATTGCTCGCTCCGCCAACATCGCCTTTTCTCGCCAGCCACGGACGGTAGCAGGTGAGCATTGGGTGCTCCGCGACTGGTGCGAGTATCTTTTTCCCCTAATGAGCTCTTTTGACGATAGGGACATAACTGGCTGCGGGTTTGCGAGTGGATCTTCCCGTTGTCGCAATACGAGGCGATGCGCACTGCGGCCAACGTGGGGCGAAACGCAACGTGAGTGTTAGAGTTGTTTGGTATTGTTAAAATGATGGACGAAACGCTTCGAAGCGCGCTGAGGGCTCCGGGCACGTCTCGAACCGGCACCAGAACGCAGAAGATGTCCCTGGCAGACCTCTCCCGCTTGAGCGTCGAGCTGCGTGCCCTCGCAGAGTTGCCCGCCTCGCGGTACAAGGGGCTCGTCCTGAAGTGCGACCTCTGCGGCAAGCGCTCGCATGAGATCGACAACTTTTGTAACGAGTTAGCTAAAAAAAAGCGCATACTGCGTTGAAATCGCAAAGTCTCTTGAAACAGGCGGCTGAGCAGGCCGCCGCCGCCGTCGGAGGCGGGAGGAGGAGCCGCCTGCTGGGTGAGCCACTGCAGCACCCACGGGTACGACTTGTCCTTCGACGTCACCTCGAGCGTCACGAGCAGGTGCCGCTGCGCCAGCGTCAGGGCGCCGCGGCCGGCGCCGCGAGCCGCGGCGAGGCCGGTGCCCGCCACGCCGAGCGCAAAGCCGGCGGAGAAGTACGGGTTGTCTTCGAGGCCGACGAAGGAGAGGACGCGGCTCGTGAGCGAGCTGACGGAGGAGGAGGGTGTCGACGAAGCCAACGCGCTGCTCGTCGACATGGCGGGGAGCAGGAATTTTTCTTTTTGTGGACTGTCACTACAAGTCCGCCGAATTTAAGATTTTAGAGGCCCGCCGCAGGCCGGCGATTTTCAGATTTTAGACCAAGATTTTAGAGCTCTGGAGCGCGTTTTCGCAAGATTTTAGCTGTGCGTTCACACATTTTCAAGATTTTACAGCTCACGGCCGCCCCGCCTTCAAATCTTAAATTCGGCTGACCTGTAGGCCAGCCAAAAGACTCTCGATGACACCACCCGCTATGAAAAACGAAAAAGAAAAGAGCTGCCCGCGGCTGAGCACGATACCGCCAAATCAGGCGCCTGTGTCAGCGCCAATGGCGTGCCCGTGCCTGCCGTCCGAGCCGGAAGAGCTCGAAGGCTTCGACCCGGCGATCGCGCTCGAGTGCTCGCAGCTCGCCATGTGCCTCGCGTACGAGCCCGACGTTGGGTTTCGCGTGGCGCAGCTTCCTGAATTTAACATATCCACGAGCGGCATCGTCTTCACAAAGGACTACGAGCGCGACGGAAAGCGCGCGCTGATCGTCTGCTGCCGCGGCACCCTCTTCGGCGTCGCGAAGGACATGCTCCGCAACCTCTCCTTCAAGGTGTCCACCTCCACCGTCTTCAAAGGCTACAAGAAGGAAGAAGGGGGAAAGTGGGTGAAAGTGAGTGAAGGACTCAGGGGTCTCGCGGACGAGAAAGTGCACCGGGCGTACCTTGACCGCGCGATGGGCTGCCTCTTCAGCTACCTCCTCCTCGTCAAGATGGAGGCGGGTGATGAAGGCGCTTACGACATTGGCAAGTACGAGAAGGTGATCGTGACGGGGCACTCGCAGGGCGGTGCGGTCGCCCAGGTCTTCGCGGCGCTGCTCGTGGGCATGGACAAGGGGCTGCGGGCTCTGCGTGACGGACTCATCGACAAGCTGGTGATCAACGACTGGAGCGGCAGTGTCAACATCTTCGGCGCCGACAAGGGCCAGCTGACCTCATCCGAGCTCACAATCACGATGAAGAAAAACGCGGACGGTACAGATGTGACGCCAAAAATGTTTCACGTCGAGTGGACAGGTGCGTCTCGCGGCGGCGCAGCCCGTTTGCCTCGCTCGCCGATGCGCCCACAGCGTCCTGTTCTTGCTCTCACGCCCGTTGCCTGCGCGCGACAGGTGCGTGGGAGCATGAAAAGGACTGGCTGGTCAAGGACGCCCTGCTCCAGGACGAGGACGAGGACGACCGCATGGGTACCCGCGAGACCGTGAGCGTGTACGCCTTCGCGCCGACCAAGATCGCGAACATGGCTTTCGAGCGCTGGTACGACCTGAATGTGCCGCGCACGTTCAACTTCATCATGAAGTACGACCCCGTCGCGCAGGTTAGTGCCACCATCGCCACAGCTACCAGCCCCATCCCCTCCCACGCCGCCTGCCCCGCCGCCTGCCGCGCGCCCGTAGATGGTGTTTCCGTGGACGCGCCGGCCGGGCGGCCTGATCGAGATAACCGTGAAGAAGACCGACAACCTGCGGTGGCTCACCTTCCCCTTCATTGACGCGATGCTCAACATGATGCCGGTCCTGCCAAGGTGCTGCGCGAAGAAGGGCGACTACGGGATGGACCTGCACGGCGGCCGGGTCTTCCTCGCCGCCATCACCGAGTATTTGCTCCATCGGGACGGGGACTCGGAGAAGGCGTGGAAGGCGATCTTGGCGAAGGCGTGGAAGGAGATTGCGCCCTTTGTGATGGATGCAGAGTATTTTGGCGGCGGCAACGAGCACTTTGTCACCTGGCTCCGCCTCCAGCGCTCGTACTACTTTAGCGCAGAAGAGGGCTCTTCGACGATCCGGCTCGACGACGAGAAGGAGCAGATCAAGCTGCTGAAGCAGGCCCACACAGGGGAGCTGTGCGACTTTGCGTACACGGTCCTGCGCGCCCAGAGCACAAACGGCCGCCTTGTGCTCTTCAAGATCCAGACCAGCATCGCTTTCTTTTGCATCGCTCCGTCCGGCGCGCCTTTGAACTCCCCCTCCTACCCGTGTTCTCACTCGCCTCCTCCCTCGCCACCCCGTCTCCTCCTCCCTCGCCTCCTCCCTCGCCACCCCGTCTCCTCCTCCCTCGCCATCTCTCCTCCGGCCGGCAGCCCTCCTGCACCCACGTGCGCACCCGCCTGAGCACTTTCTTGCCCTGCCGTCGGCAGCCCTCTTCCTCCTCGGGCTGGTCTCTCTGCTGGTGGCCGCGCTGATGTCACTCTTTCTCGTCCCCTTCGTGCTTGGCGAAACCACCGTTGATCACCTCCTAGCCCGGGTCGACGGAACCAAGGATCCGAGCGCGAGCGCAGGCGGTGCCCCTCAGGCCAAGCAGTCATCGCGGCCGCCGCGGCCATTGACGAGCGAGGCCTCGGCGCGGCGCTATGCGGAGGCGCGGCGCAAGGCCCCAAAGCCGCCCACGGACCTCGTCTGAGCGCTCTCTTGGCTCTCTGTGGCCTCCTGGCTCTGCGCGCACCCCCCCGCGGCGCTTGTGGGGGGGACCTCGGCCAGGCAGCGGCGCTCAAGGCGTGGAACGAGCAGGAGGGGGACGCAAAGTACCTCTCGCGCGACCTGCTCGAGTCGAAGCCCTCCACCGCCGCGGACATCTTCTCCTTCGGCATGGTGCTGTACGAGGTGCGGACAGCAGAGAGCCTGCCTGGCTCGGGGCCGCGCTGGGACGAGCTGCGGTCGGGGTCGGTGCCGCCGCCGGCCGACTGCGGCGCCGAGATGGGGCGCCTGCTGCGGAGCATGATGAGCCCGCAGCCAGAGGCGCGCCCCTCCGCCGACGGCATCCTTGACTCGTGCTGTGCGGCCGCCGCCGCCGCCGCCGCAGACCGGTGCGTAGCGGCGGCGATGGGATAGGGCTCCGTTTGGAGCCACTCACACCGGCGGGAGGCGTCCGATCGAGCAGCGACAGGCGAGCCGTTGTGCCGCAGGAGTCAGGAGTGCAGTATGGCAGAGAGAGATGAGAGAGAGACCCGCGCGCGGCACCGGCCAACCGGGAGTGCTGCTGCTGCAAGAGAGAGCGAGCGTGACCCATGTTCTTATTAACTGGCAGTGTCCTCCTCAACGGCAATAGCCACTTCTGTCAGTGTGAGGGCAAATACGCGGATTAGAGAAATACTCCTTCCTTTCCTGCCGTCCTCCGTCCCGCCATCCCTCCCTGTGGCCTTTTGCGGATTGGCGAGATTGCGCCTTGCCCTCTTCGCTCTTGGCAACGCTAGCAACGCCCTTGCGCCTTGGGCTGTTTTTTCTCGTTTCACTTTAACAACGGGCTCAATCCAAGGGATCCAAAGGTAAGGACTCTTCTCTAGGCGGAAAGCGCGACAGCGGCAGCGCGCAGCAGGGCAAGGGCTCTCGTCGTCAGGTATCACCTAGGGTATCACTCGGAACTCGCTCTCTCGCTAACTAAGCATACGCGACGCCGACACTGGAGGGCCTGCTCAGCAGCAGCTGCAGCCGCGGTCACGCCCGCAACTGCGGCAGCCGCCTCCACCTCCATCTCCGACCTATCTCCCCACTTGCCGGACCGCCTCGGCGCCGGCAGCAGAGGAAGGCTCAGGTGGCGGCGGCGGTGGCGGCGGCGCGGTGAGATCGCTGGTGTCCCTGCCCGCCTCCCTGCGGGCGTAGAAGAGCGCCGCCTGCTCGGCGGTGGCGAAGCTGCCGAGGAAGACTTTCTTGCCGCCAACCGTCACCCGCAGCTGGTACTTCTTGCTGCTTCGCTTCTTCGGGCAGAAGACCACTCCCCTGTAGCCGCTGTTGCTGCTGCTACTGGTGACAAGGGTGAGGCCCTCCCTCTCCGCCTGCCGGACCGCCTCGGCGCCGGCAGCAGAGGAAGGCTCAGGTGGCGGCGGCGGTGGCGGCGGCGCGGTGAGATCGCTGGTGTCCCTGCCCGCCTCCCTGCGGGCGTAGAAGAGCGCCGCCTGCTCGGCGGTGGCGAAGAGGCCGAGGAAGTTCTGCCGGCCGCCAAACCTCACTGTCAGCTCGTACTTCTTGCTGCCTTTCTTCTTCGGCTTGAAGGTCACTCCCCTGTAGCCGCTGTTGCTGCTGCTGCTGGCGGTGAGGGTGAGGCCCTCCCTCGCCGCCTGCAGTATCGCCGCGGCGCCAGCGGCAGTGGTAGTAGCGCGGGGCTGTAGCAGCTTTGCGGCGTCGGCGCGGCCGTACTCTGAGCGAGCGTAGGCGGTGGCCGCCTCTTCGGCGGTGTCGAAGTAGCCGAGGCGGACATGCTTGCCGCCATCCTGCACCTGCGCCTGGAACTTCATTTTGCTGCGGTCGTAGGCCACGTTATTGTAGCCAGTCGTGTTCCTCTTGTTGGCTGGGATTAGCACGAGGCGCTCGGAAGCCGGTGGCATCCGCCCACTAGCGGCGCTCGGGACTCCCCCAGGGGACTGGCCCCGAAGCTTCGTGGCTTTCTTTTTTGCGCGATGGCTCTGGTCCCTCATCACACTCCACCCCCCTAGGATCACACTTGCGTTGTATGTGCGCATTGCTCCTCCTCGCTCCGCTCCTCTCCGGCCTCGTGGCGAGTGCACGAGTCAAAGACCAGCGCATCCCGGTGACCGTGCTCACCGGCTTCCTCGGCAGTGGTAAGACGACCCTGCTCAACCACCTCCTCACGAAACAGCACGGCAAGCGGCTCGCTGTGATCGAGAACGAGTTCGGAGAGGCGCGCGCACACGCCTGGTCGCTGAAGCCAGCGGGCGCCGAGCCCGCACGTGGATTCACCGCGCTTGCCTCCCTCTCACCCAAGGTTGGCATCGACGACGCGCTGCTTGGGAAGAACGCCCGCGAGGAGGCTGAGCCTGAGATCATCGAGATGATGAACGGCTGCATCTGCTGCACCGTCCGGCAGGACCTCATCGTCGTGCTCAAGCGGATCTCGGAGAGGGTGAACTCCGGAAAGCTCAACATCGACGCCGTCGTGATCGAGACGACGGTGTGCCTGTTTTGCAGCCGCCACGTCCTGTGCGAGCATTACGACCCCTCGGTGACTGCCGCTGCAGGGGATGGCGGACCCTGCGCCGGTCGCCCAGACCTTCTTTGTCGACGAGTCGGTGCAGGAGTGCTTTCGGCTCGACGGGACGTGACCCTCGTCGACGCCAAGCAAGTCTCTTGGGTAAAAAGTCTCTTCGGTATCAATGATCAAGTTTCAAGTCGTTTACGTCCGTCCATCATGTCGTCCATCATGTCGTCGATCGTGCCGGCGCCGTGAACCTGTGCCCAAGCTATGAAACCCAGGCAGATCATCCGCTGCCGGCCGCGCGAACCCGGCAGCACGAAGACGCTGCATCAGAATGGGAAGGGTGTCCCTATTGCCGTGTAGAATGCAATCGGAATCGCGAGAATCGCGAATGGCAGACGCGCCTGGCTCGCCAGTGGCCGCCGCGGAGCGGCACGACCCCTTCACGCCCTCGTGCCGCCACACACAGTCCGCAAAAAAGAAAAAATAATATGAATGCCACAGGCGCGTCGTGGAACGCCCCTCCGAACGTCCCCCGCTAACCTCGAAAAAAGAAAAGAAAGAAAACGGATAACCCAAGGGAGGGATGGGAGGACGGCACGCCGCCACCACACAGGGATTTTAAGGAGAGGGCCTGTACCGTGTTTGTTAGGACCCCCCCCGATGAACACACCAGTGAGGGAGGGCGAGACGATCGAGGGGTCCCGTACCATGCGGAATCGACCCTATCCAGTGCTCAAGTGCTCAAGAGGGGTGTGGTGCGCTAGCCGTCGCCCACCCTTGGGCGTCCGCCTCTTCCTATCTCTCTTCGCAGTCCCTCTCCGATTCTCGCTGCGACCTTCGTGCCACCTCGCGGTCTGAGGGAGGGTGTAGAGGATGTAGAGTGTAGAGCGCTGTAGAGCTGTAGAGATGTAGAGCGCTCTGGAGCGCTGTAGAGCGCTGTAGAGCTGTAGAGCTCTACATCCGCCGCGGGACGAAGCGCCTGCGTTGTAGAGCGATGTAGAGGCGCTCTACAACGTGAAATCTCTACAACAAACTCTACATCATAAGCGGCGAACGAGGCACGGTCGCTCTCCGACATGAGGCGCGTTGCACTTGCCAGTGCTACCCTGGCCTTCTCTCTGCCCGCCCAATGGGTGGGAGGTGCCTCTGCTGCTGTGGCATGCCTCACGGCTGCGACTGGCCGGCGCCTCGGCGCGTCAGCTCGGCTCGGCGTAGCGATAGTGGCCAGCGCAACTCGCCTGGACTCAACGCTCAGCCAGGAGCTCCCGCACGCGCTGGCGCGAGTCATGGCGCATGCAACGCGCAGCAATGCTCGCCTCGCCTCGCGCAAATGCGACCGTCCTCGCAGCCGACAGTCCACCGCCTGCTAAAGAAGCACAGCGACGAATACGGCACCGGCGACGCATGGCAGGCTGGTCATGACGCAGTTGTAGGGTGTTGTGTGCCGTCAGAGTGATTCTCTGTGTGTCAGGGACAGTCAGGGCCGTCCATCAGAGCTCCAGTAAGCTCGGAGACACCCCATTATTAGCGGCTCGACCTCTTTGTCCCGGCGGTTTGGCTGTAGAGCCTCTACAACAAACTCTACAGCAAAATCGCGCTCTACATCGCTCTACAACGCAGGCGCTTCGTCCCGCGGCAGATGTAGAGCTCTACAGCTCTACAGCGCTCCAGAGCGCTCTACATCTCTACAGCTCTACAGCGCTCTACACTCTACATCCTCTACACCCTCCCTCAGCTCGCGGTCCTTCTCAAAAAAAGAAAGAAAACAGACAACCCAAGGGAGGGATGGGAGGACGGCACGCCGCCACCACACAGGGATTTTAAGGAGAGGGGTGTGATGCGCTAGCCGTCGCCCACCCTAGGGAGTCTGCCTCTTCCTATGCGGTCCTTCTCGTCTTCCATCTAGCCCCGCGAGAAATTCTTTTCCTCGCGATGTCCAACCCGTCGCGCCGCCGCTCGCGCCGCCTCGCCTCCGCCCCCACCGCTGATCCCTCGCCAGACACGCCGCCGCTCGCCCTCCTCGACCTCCCCACGGAGCTCCTCCTGCGCGTCCTCTCTCGCTGCGACAGCCCCCTCGACATCGCTCGCGTCGCGGCCGTCTCGCTGCTCTTCCACGCCTCGCTCGCGGAGGACGGCATCCGCTTGTGGGCGCAAGAGCGCGGCTTCGAGCTCCCAGCGAAGCAAGAGGGCGAGAGCTGCGCCGTGCGGTGGCTGTGCTGTTCGGCGTTGCTGCGCGAGTCCAACCCGCCGGCGAGGGCGGCAGCAGGCTGTTGGCACAGCGTCTTCATCGACGGCGAGGGGCGGCTCTCGTCGTGCGGCAAGGAGTCGACCTTATCTTCGGGACTGCTCGGCCACGGCGAGGGCGTGACGCGGCTGAACACGCCTACCCGCCTCCCTTCCACGCTGGGTGGCGAGCGCGTCGTGAGCGTGTCGGCTGGAAGCGCGCACAGTCTCGCCCTCACTGCCGGCGGCAGCGTCCTGAGCTGGGGCGGTGGACTCTTTGGCCAGCTGGGCCAGCTGGGCCACGGCGACGAGCAGATCCAGCTGCTGCCGCAGAAGGTCGAGGCCTTTGCTGGCCAGCGCGTCGCGTCTGTGTCGGCTGGAGAGAAACACAGCCTCGCCCTCTCCGCCGACGGCGCTGTCTGGAGCTGGGGCTATGGTCTCTACGGCCAGCTGGGCCACGGCGACGAGCAGGAGCAGCTGCTGCCGAAGAAGATCGAGGCCTTGGCTGACCAGCGCGTTGTCGCTGTGTCGGCTGGAGCCCGCCACAGCCTCGGCCTTACCGCCGACGGATCCGTCTGGAGCTGGGGCGATGGCTACTTTGGCAAGCTGGGCCACGGCGACCAGCGGGAGCAGCTGCTGCCCAAGAAGGTCGATGCCTTTGCTGGCCAGTGTCTCGTCGCTGTGTCGGCTGGAGATTACCACAGCCTCGCCCTCACCGCCGACGGAGCTGTGTGGAGCTGGGGCGGTGGAGCCCTTGGCAAGTTGGGCCACGGCGACGTGGAGCACCAGATACTGCCGAAGAAGATCGACGCCTTTGCTGGCCTGCACGTCGTCGCTGTCGCGGCTGGAGGCGAACACAGCCTCGCCACCACCGCTGACGGCGCCGTCTGGAGCTGGGGCATGGGAGGCGATGGCCAGCTGGGCCACGGCGACGCGCAGCCCCACCTGCTGCCCAAGAAGGTCGAGGCTTTTGCCGGCCAGCGCGTCGTCGCTGTGTCCGCTGGAGATCACCACAGCCTCGCCCTCACCGCCGACGGCGCCTTCTTTAGCTGGGGCAAGGGCGAGGACGCCTGCCTAGGCCACGGGGACGACCTGTCGAACCAGCTGCTGCCCAAGAAGGTTGAGGCGTGGGCGCCGGGGCAGTGATGAGAAGGGCGAACGGGTGCAAGGCTCTGTGTTTCCACGCGTCGCCCACGTGCCTATTTGCCGCCGAGAGGAGTTTGATCGTCAGAAAACAAATCACCCCGTTTTTGCCCATTTTCGGTCGTCCGTCAAAATATCTGAGAAGATCTGTCCGGGGGATTCTCCCCAAACCTTGCTCAGCTGATCCAGCACGGGTCGTAGGCCAGGCCTGGGCAAAGAAACCAGTACCTCATCAGGCTTCCCTGAGCGTCACAGCTCGGTGATCGCGCCGGCCGGACACCACTGTAACGGCCGTTCCGGGCATTTGAACGCGACCTTTGGGGGCAAAGACATGGGCTCTATGGCTCAGACTGGACTCCTCTTGGTCCCTTCTGATGCCCTAGGCCACACCTGGGCCTTACCTGGGGTCTAAGAAAGAAAGAAAGAAAACAGACAACCCAAGGGAGGGATGGGAGGACGGCACGCCGCCACCACACAGGGATTTTAAGGAGAGGAGTGTGATGCGCTAGCCGTCGCCCACCCTAGGGAGTCTGCCTCTTCCTATCTCTTTTCGCAGTCTCTCGCCGATTCTCGCTGCAACCTTCATGCCACCTCGCGGCCGTCCCACTCTCGTCGTTCTCTCCCTTGTCATTTCCTCCTCTGTCGCGTCATTCTCTTCTGCCTCGTCCTGCGCCGCCGCCGCCTGCCGTTCCCTTGTTCTCTCGGCTTCTTTCGCCTTTCGGCGCAGCTCCGCCCTCCTTGCTGCATATCCTGGCCCCTCGAGTCTATCGAGCTCCCCTCGCGCAAGGAAGGACCACATTTCTGACTCCCACTCCGATCATTTGCCTCCAGGTCATGTTGTTGCTCAGGTCCACTCTCTCTTCGAACACTCGTGCCTCTACGGATGATGCCGGCGCTGGGGTCCCCTTCGGATGCATCGTGACCTGGGGTCTAGGGCCGGCAGGATTTTACCTTCAATTCTTATTTGTAGCGGGTGTCTTCGCGATGGGCGCCGCCGGCCTGTTTCGCGTTCTCCCGCTGCTGCAGCCCTGCCCTCACCGCCACCAACACTCGCTCGCCCGCTGCCGACATCCTCGCCTCTCCGTCCTCGACGGCGATTTGGTCAGCGGCAGCGGCACACATGACTTCAGTTCCATGGCGCCCACCGCGCCGCCGGAGGCCGAGCAGAGGGCGGCCAAGATTGCGTCGCTCAAGCTCGAGGGAGCCGCTGCCATCGAGCGGCGTGAGCGGCTCGCTGCGGCGCTCAAGGACGCGACCCAGCGCAGGATGTGTGACAGCAGCGACGACAGCCTCTTGTCCGACGAGTGCGAGGCGAGCGATGAGCAGGCGGAGCTTGCCGACGAGGCGCTGCTGCCCTCCGAACTGCTGACGGCAGACAGTGTGGCGGTGCCCGCGCTGCTGGAGGATAACCTGCTCGACCTGCCCAACCCGAGGCGCCCCGCCGCCGCCATCGCCGCCGCTGTCGCCACCGCCTGGGCGAGATTCAACTCGGGAACTTCAACTTCATTGTCAACCGAGGAGGCGTGACTCGCCGGCCGCAGGTACGCCTCGCAGAACGCGGCCGTCCTGATCACCGCCGCGAGCAGCGCCGTCCTCGTTGTGGCCATGTCGGTGGCCGAGTTTGCGCCGCCGGGCACCTCTATCCTCGGATTGCTGCGCCGCCTGCCGCTGTCGCTCTGGGCGAGCTACTTGCGCGCCGTGGCGGCGTACCCGGTGGCAGTCAAGGCGGCGCTCACCGGCGTGACGTATGTGATCGGAGACATGATCGCGCAGGTCGTGCAGCAGCAGCAGCAGATCCTCCAGCTCCAGCTCGCCCCCCGATCGCTGCGAGACAGCCTCCTCCGCATGGACGTGTGGCGGTACGCACGAAGTGTCTAGGAAGTGTCTAGGAAGTGTCTAGGCGAGACAACCTCCTCCGCATGGACGTGTGGCGGTACGCACGCGCCGGGCTCGCGGGCGTCGTGTTCCTCGGCGAAGCTTCCTAGACACCTCCTAGACACCTCCTAGACACCTCCTAGACACCTCCTAGACACCTCCTAGACACCTCCTAGACACCTCCTAGACACTTCCTAGACCCCTCCTAGACACCTCCTAGACACTTCCTCGCGGGCGTCGTGTTCCTCGGCGCGTTGGTCTCGACGCGTCGCGCGCCCTATCACGCCCGCAAGAGGCGGGCCGACCCCCCCCCCCCCCCCCCCCGACAAAAAATGCACCGGGGCCCGCTTCACCCAGGCTCGCGCCCAAGGGTGGGCCGGGAGCCCCCCGCCCGCCCCCTTCCCCCTAGGCCCCTTGGCCCACGTTTTTTAGGATCTCGGGGCACACTTTTGCCCCGGGTGGCCGACGCGGGCCAAGGCTCACCCCCCCACGCGGGTTCCGCCACGGACCGCCCCCCCCCCCCCCCCTCCTCCTCCTCCTCCTCCTCCTCCTCCGCCCCCCCCCAACACCACCTCCCCACACACACACACCACCACCCCACACACCGCACTCCCTCTCAGGTCGCGCTCGACCAGACCCTCTACCTCGCCCTCTACAACTCCATCTACTACCTCACGCTCGGCCGGCGCGCTCTCCCCGCTCTCTCCCCGCTCTCCCCGCTCTCTCCCCGCTCTCCCCGCTCTCCCCGCTTTCTCGCTCTCGCCCGCATTCTCACCCTCACCCTCGCTCTCATCCTCGCCCTCGCCCTCATTGCCCTCCTCGCCCTCCTCCCCTTTGCCCTCCTCCCCCTCTCCTTCACTCTCTTCGCCGCTGTCACTCTCTTCGTCGCTTTCATCATCCAAAGTCAACTTGCTTCAGGCTCGCTGGCCGGCCGCTGCTCGAGGTGGCGCGGCAGTACTCGGCGCAGTTTTGGCGGCTCCTACGCGCTGGCTGGAAGCTGTGGCCCTTCGTCGGCGTCATCACCTACACGTACGTGCCGACTGCGCACAGGGTGCTCTTCGTCGACCTCGTCGAGATCGCCTACTCGGCCACTGCCCCTAGAAGCGGAACACGTATTGTCTTTTCAACTAGCGCTCGAGAGGACACCGCGTACTCCACTGCACTCGACCGCATTCCGCTGTGTTCACTGTACTCGTACCCCTCGTATTCACGCGGTGCTCCGAATGCACGGCACGAGGCCGCATTCCCGCCCTGATGTTGGTGTATTTACCGCGGTAGGCCATTCTCTCGACGATGACCACCGACACGCCGCCGGCGGAGGGAGAAGCAGAGCTTTTGCAAGCCGAGACTTTCGCAGACTCGAAGAGAGACATACGACCGTGAGCGTGCTGGGACACGCTCGCTTTCGGTCCATGTACGCGTGCATATAATCGGGTGTGGCAGTGTAAGTAGAGCCAGAGAGTTGAGAGTGCATGGCGTGCAAGTAGAGTAGTGCAAGCGAGGGGGTAAATAGAGAGCAGCGTTATACCACACATGCACATGCATATGTGTGTGCACATCGGGTCATTCCGGTCATCGCGGCACACCATACGGGTCTTGCATGACATATCACCTTCTTGTGGCTAGTTCCATTTCACTCTGACACGCTAATCTTGAAAACGTCCAACGGAGCTCCTGTTGCTCCCAGCGCCCTCCCCCGCGCTTCCTGCGACCCTAGCCGATGGTACTAGCATGGGAGGTCATCTGGCTACCGCGAGAGCGACCCAACTCGTCGACATCGTCCGATGATGGTGCCTCAAAGTCAGCCTTCGGAGGCTATCGTGGGGTCGAGCCGGCAGTAGCCGTGACATGTGGTTCCACCACCCCTCGTAGACTTTGCCTCTGACCGTCACCGTTCCCAGGCTGCCTAATGGGATGGAAAGGAAGGCTCGGCGAGCGTATAGAAGCGTGCTCGACCTCGTCGTGGCAACCTGTACGGCAGCGCTGGTAGGCGCGATGAGCGTCGTGCCACCTGACCCGAGACGGGTCGCAGGCGTCGTACCGAGCGCGTCGAGACCGTGTCCTGATGTGATCTGCACGGGTGAGTCACGTCGGCGTCAAAGGAGCGACGTGTGACCTGTCAGAGCTTGATCTCCGATCTCAGCGGCGTCGAGTCGTCTCCGGTGCGCAACAAATGTACCTCCCCAGGACGCGCAGAGGCAGCTGCGACCCCGGCCGAGTGCTGTGGGGGGGAGGCCGTTGGTGCTTTGGCGCGGACGTGACTCGGTCGTGCCGATGGGGTCGGGCCCGG